GGGGCCCGGGGCAGGGCGGTAGGGAGGCGGCGACTGAGCGTGCGTGCGCCTGTGTCTGCGTCTTGTGCGTGTGTCTGCTCGACCACGCACGCACACCCTCGCCGGCGCGTGTGCGGACCTCCGGGGCCCCCTCCCTAGGCCCCCTCCCCAGGCCCCCTCCCCAGGGGTCCCTCCCCAGGGCTCGTCTCGGGCTCCGCGCGCACCCTCGCCCACGTGCTTGAGATATGGGGAGATATGGGGAGATATGGGGAGATATGGGGAGATATGAGGGAGATCACCCTCGCCCACGTGCTTGAAGCGGCACGCGTCGCCGCGCGAGCAGCGACCGTTCATGAACTCGCGGCACTCCTGAAGACGGCGCGGGGGGGGAGGGAGGGGGGGAGGGGGGGGGGGGGTCGGCGCGCCACGCGCCAAAGGGGCGCGACTCCCCGGCGGTGGCGTTGGGCGTGCAGCTGCCGGTGCCACAGGCCCGCGCAGCCGTAGGAGGGAGGACTAGCCCCCGAGAGGGGTAGGCGCCCGCCGCTCTCTGAGCAAGCCCCGCACCCGCGCCGCGGACAAAGGAAGCCCCGCACCCGCGCCGCGCACAAAGCAAGCCCCGCACCCGCGCCGCGCACAAAGCAAGCCCCGCACCGCACCCGCACCGCGAGACGCGCGCCCGCCCCCGCGCCGCGCGCCGCCACCGCCGGCCCTCAAGGGTGGTGGTGGTGCCGGTGGTGGTGGTGGTGGTGGTGGGAGGGGGGAGAAGAGGATTGTGTGCCGCCGCCGCCGCCGCCGCCGCCGCCGCCGCCGCGTCCCCCCAAAACCCCGCTGCCGCGCTGGCGCTGCTGCCCCGCTGCCGCCGCCGCTGCCCCGCTGCCGCTTCCCCGCTGCCGCCGCGCCGCTTCCCCGCTGCCGCCGCTTCCCCGCTTCCCCGCTGCCGCCGCTTCCCCGCTGCCGCCGCCGCCGCTGCCGCGCGCGCGCGGCCGCTCTGCTATTCGACGTTTGCTACGGCACCTCGATTTGGCCGCTGTCGTCGTGGCGGAACATGCACTCGCGCCGGTTGCACCGCCCCTTCTGCAAAGGTGCCCCGGGGGGGGGAAGGGGGGGGGGGTGAGGGAGGTGCGGAGGGGGACGGCAGGGGGGGGGGGGGGCGGCCCGCCAGGAAATCAAAAAAAACGCCGGCGTTAGGGTTGCCGCCGCCGCCGCCGCCGCCGTAGCCGCCGCCGTAGCCGCCGCGGTCTCCGTTGCCGCCGCCGTAGCCGCCGCGGTCTCCGTTGCCGCCCTGCGGGGGGGGGGCGGGGGTGAGGTGGCGACGGGGTGAGGTGTGTGCCGGGAGACGGAGTCGAGAGGGGGCGGAGGCAGAGGGTGTTGAAAGCGGGGATCGGAGCTAGACGTGCGGCGGTGCTGTGCGCCACGGCGCCTCGTGCAGGAAGCGGCAGTTTTGGCGCTGGCACATGCCGCGGAGGAAGTCGCGGCAGACTTCACCGCGGGGCGGGCCGCCATACCCGCCGCCGTACCCGCCGCCGCGGTCACCGCGGTCGCCGTACCCGCCACGGTCGCCGCCGTAGCCGCCGCGGCCGCGCGAGTCGTCGCGGCGATCGCGGTCGCGCGAGCGGTCGCGGCGGCGGTCGCGCG